TTGGAATCTTCGTTTATTAATATGGTTGACTAAATTTCAAACCTTATATGTTCACTATTCCAGCGATGGTTGATCCGTAATCTGCAAATATTTCAATGAAAGTCTAAATTAAAAGTTATGTATAATTTAGAAATATAGCTGATGATTGCTAAAATACAATCTTATGATAATACAGGATTTTGCAAATTGCGGGTTAGAATACAATTATTATTATTTTGCAAAGTTGTAGTCTAGTGCATTTAAATGCAAGACCGGATTGTAGGCATACCATAAATTCGGGTAACGACCTCGTTTAAACCCCAGACATCATTTAAAAACTGCCCATTCACGCAGTTTAAACCCCAGCTCAGCAATTTAAATTTTGCAAAATCCTCTTGTCTCACAGGACAACATTCACACTATATAAGTCTTATAGTCTTATACATATATAAATAATTTTAGATATCTGCCAATAATATTTTTGTTNTGATTTTAGGTGTTTTGGATTCACAACAAGATTTATCTATATTTGGAGTTTAGAAGACCTGGATTTTATAATAAAGCTGGATCAGACTCTAAAAGATGTAAAATCAATTAAGATTTAAGACTTAAAACTTAATAAACTTAATTAAGCTAAATCAGACTTTAAAAGATATAAAATCAATTAAAGCTTAAGACGTGATTCTGATTTTGAAATATTTCATAGCTTTTTAACAAAAATCATACAAATGCTGTATTTTGATACAGATCCATGTATTCAAGCTGTATATTTTAAGTCAGTCCGATAATAATTATTGCTTATTTCAAAGTATCCTAAAAATGATTTTCAATGCATGAAAACTCTTTCAAAATCAATTTTATTCGATTTAAGATGAAATCTTGAAACTTTAATCATAAATTGACTTTATTAGCTTCTGAGTTTGTTTCATAATTTTATGCTGTATTGTAGCCAGCAAGGTTTGTTACATATTTGTAGATAATGCATGAAAACTCTTTCAAAAATCAATTTTAATCGATTTAAGATGAAATCTTGAAGCTTTAATCATAAATTGACTTTATTAGCTTCTAAGTCTGTTTCAAAATAGTAGAATCTTTAAATTTTCCAAAAAAAAAAGTTTTTATTTAATTTTATGTATTTGAAGTTTTAGATTTTTTGTTTTGTTCAAAATGACAGGTAGAGAAATATCAATCAGATAAAGTATGTATGGCTGTTAAAATTATTTAGAAGTCCAATTTTTAGAATATTTTTAAATTTTGAATATCAGAATTTAGTTAAAACTTAAAGGAGTTTAAAAAATTCAGTGACTGTAAAAAATGACTGAAAATAGTTAAATTTAAACGCTAATAAGACCTTTAAAATTTTAGACTTAAATTCATCAGAATTTTCCAGTTATAAGACTGTGTGGAGAATAATCAAACCTTAGTTGAAAGATTGGCAATTTGAAAAATAAATTTATAAAAGGAGCTTTTTATGATATTTTCAGCAAGGTAAAGTTTAAAAAATTGTAAAGCTTGAAAATATATATATAGAGTTTAGAAATGTAAAGTTTTAAGAAACGTAAAGTTTCGAAATATGAATATCAAAAATTGACTTTAAATTGTTTAAAAATCAAGAAAGAAAGATAGATAGAGAGTTTAGAAGTGTAAAGTTTTAAGAAACGTAAAGTTTCGAAATATGAATATCAAAAATTGACTTAAAATTGTTTAAAAATCCAAGAAAGAAAGATAGATAGAGAGTTTAGAAATGTAAAGTTTTAAGAAACGTAAAGTTTCGAAATATGAATATCAAATATTTACTTAAAATTGCTTAAAAATCAAGAAAGAAAAGAGAAAAAATTGGAGTAAGCAGGAATCGAAATATATATATACTGAGTAAATTTCTTAAAATCTAGATAGAAACGAGTGAAAAATTGGAGTAAACAGAAATCAAGAAAAAATATACCAAAATTCAAGAGTAATCTTTAAAAAAAATGCGATAAAAGATAAAATAAGATAAGAGAAATTTATTTAGATTTAGATTTCTGTTATTATAACAATCTGCTGGAATCTATTCCTTCTCAGCTTTGATTGTTTTAGATTAAGTAACAGGAGCTGGATATTCCCTTTTAGCTTCAACTGTATTTATAAATTAAGTAACAGGAGCCGGATACTTCCTTTTAGCTTTAACTGTATTTAGATTAATTAACAGGAGCTTTTAGCTTCAACTGTATTTAGATTAATTAACAGGAGCTTTTAGCTTCAACTGTATTTAGATTAATTAACAGGAGCTTTTAGCTTCAACTGTTGACTTATACAATTTGGTAGATAATTGTTTATTTTACTATAGTGTTTACAACAATATATTATATCAATATCGGAGGTCCGTGTTCCCTCCTCCAAATTACTGTGGATAACTAACTAACTATAAAAAGACGTAAAATATAGAAAAATTTAAAAAAAATGTAGAAAAATATTTAAATTGTAACTTCAATGTAGAAAAACCAAAAATGTAGAAAATTAAGAAATGTATGTAATATTTCCGTGTACTCCCGGACACGTAAAAATTTGAAATTAAAATTAAATTGAATTGAAATTGAAATTGGACTTTAACTTTAATTCAGAGTTTAAAGATTGAAAAGAAAAATAATTTGTAATTATATAATCGAAAATTTATAATTTATAAAAAAAGTTAGAGAATTATTCGACGGTAGACCTCCATCTGGAAATTATATAAATTCAACCTTTTAGAATCTATATAACTCCGTATGAGAGCTCCACAGTAGAACAGCCCTCATTCAGCATTTTATAACTGTTGACCCATATAAGTTTGTAGATAATCGTATATTTAACTGTAATGTTTACAACAATATTATATCAATAATTTAATAATAACTATCGGGAACTCATTCTCCTCAGTCTCTCGGTCTAAAAATACTAAAAATACTACCTAACTTAACTAGAGGTACTTGTTCCCTCTTCCTAATTGCTTAGGACAACTAACTAACTTCTTTATAAAAAGGCACAATATAGAAAAATTTAAATATTTAAGTTGTGACTACAATGGAGAACAGCCCAAAAAGTTGAGAAAACTTAAAATTAATTTTTTATGTATAACGAAATTTAATTAGATACTTTCCGTGTACTTCCGGACACGTAAAAATTTGAAATTTGAAATTTGAAATTGAATTTGAATTGAAGTGAAATTGAAATTGAATTTAAATTGAACTGAAATTGAAATTGGACTTTAACTTTAATTCAGAGTTTAAAGATTGAAAAGAAAAAGGAAATTGTAATTTTTTAAACCGAAAATTTATAATTTATAAAAGAAAATTAGAGAATTATTCGACGGCAGACCTCCATCTGAGAATTATATAAATTCAACCTTTTAGAATCTATACAATTCCGTATGAAAGCTCTCCAGTCGAACAGCCCTCATTCAGCATTTTGCTCTGAAATAAGTTTAAAGTTTAAAGTTTAAAGGATGGTAGGGAAGTGACGCTAAAAAGGCCTTACAGGCTCCGATGAAGACTTGGTGCCGCGCTTTGCTCGTCCACCGCTCCTTCACGAGTTCTCGCTTCATTTTGCGCTCACTCGTACCAGGCGCGTTTTAAAGTTCAAAAGGGAATATGCCATGACAATTTTAGATGAAGCTTATGTATCAAAAATTGCTGTACTAAGAGAAACGAATTCGCAGGATTGTAATCCGGCGCAGAGTTATTGATCTTTTTAAGGTAAAAAATGCTCCATTGTATAGTAGAACTAATATCCAGTAATTTTCTCAGCAAAAATTGTGCAATCTGCTTCCTTATAGCCCAATGTCAGGGACATGTAGTAGTTAGTAGTTAGTTTAACAGTCTCTGATTACTACTTTTTGAGTAATGTTAGGCGGGGGGGTCCCAGGAACATTACCCATATCCGGAATAGGGTTGATTTTATAATAACTAGCCTTTACGGGCGCTTCGCCCCATCTTCTATTTTAATTGTGCACATGTTCTCTTTGCGTACATCCTAAAACAAAACAAAAAATTCGCGGATTTTAGTAAAAAATGTCGAGGATTTTTAAAATTTTCAAAAATTTTATGAAAATCGAATTTTGACGGAGACAAATTTTGATCATTCACAAACCATCCCTGGGGCCACGTGACGTCCCACACAAAATTTGGGCCTGATCGGTTCAGGCATTTTGGAGTTTATTGGATGCAAACAAACCGAGAGACAAGCTGAATTTATATATAGATGTCGTAAAAAGGTAGGGACTGGAAGGCCTTCTTTTTATAGATGGGGTACGGTAGAGTAAGACACACAAGGTACTCATGCCCTAATATGGTAAATTTTAATGCTACAGAGTTGGGAACTTTTGTGTTGAAATACCAATAATCCCAAGCGCTATATCTCAATATCCAATGTGGGTATTTTTATAAGCAATGTTTAATCTCATTATTTTGTGTATCCCTTGTGTATGATTATCATGCGGGATATTAAATGAAGATTAACAAAAGATCGAGATCAAGCATTGATTTCAATATTCATAATACCAGAGTTCTCAGGTCAAATTAACTCTATGCAAAACTGTAGGTAAGTTAACCTAAAGATATCAGTTTAAGGAACTATAAATCCTTTTGAGGAAGAAAAATGATAAAATACTCATAATTACAGGACACACTTGTAACTTTATAGGATACAAAGCATAATTTATGGTTGAAGTAAACTTTATACTAAGTTTTACTTTTATATTATTACAAATATCAAGTTTATGTCTTCAACTTTAAAGATCATTTAATTGACCTAAATATTATTTAAGCCTACACTACACATATAAAAAGTAAACATATGGAAGTTAAATAGAGATGGATATATAAACTGAAACATTTTTATTGCAAATCAGATATTTAATTTGTCTCCAATAGAGCATACTAGAGCTCTTATACCAATTAGGTAAGAAGACTTGAGAATTATACTTTTTTTAAATTTCTAAATTTCTTAAGTTTACAATAAAATTTGTTCTTTTGTAATTTTTATGCCTATCTTGACAATTATTATGTAGGTATTAATGAATAAGTTATTCTTACTTGCGCTTTTGGGCTTTGCCCTTATTGCACTAACAGGTACAATATTTGGTTTTTATCATAGAAATGTTACATAAGATTTTAAAGTTGTTTACTTAATTACACTGTACATTTCTTATACTTTTACCAGGTGCTAAAAATGAAGGCAATAGTTTTCAAATCAAGGAAGCAGAAGACCTTGAGATAAGGGAAGTAAGAGAAGCAAATCCAGCAAATAGTGATGCTACTAAGAAGGCTGATAGGAAAGCTGCAAAAAAGGCTCTCAAAAAAGAAAAGAGCAACAAGTCCTTTTTAAAATCTAGATATTTATTTACGTATCATTATTACAGTTTACAAGATTGTTAACATGGATTTGACACAAAACTTTCTTACGATGTATTCTTTGTAACTACAGTTATAAATATATAAGTTCGAAATTCTAATTTTAACAGATACATTTTATTTACGTTTTTTCATCTCTGAATTGCTGGTAAATTTATATTCATTTAGTGGTAAGGCAGCAGTTCGAGAGAAAAAACTACATTATATATTAAGGGTAGCGTTATTTTATGGAATCTGACTGTGAGATATTACATACACAGTGTGTGTTATCTCTTATTAGGTAATGCTACAGTTAACAGTGTGCATGCTTTCACATAAGCATACAAGGGAATTTAATGTGAGCTTCAGAACGAGGAACATTATCCGTTCTTCGTTTATGTTGAGGCTACATTTTACGCGGAAATATGTAAGTTCATTTATGTTGAGGCTTCATAAGCAGGCGATGTAAGGAACACAATAATTATTACGATGTACGAAGGAACATAATAATTGAGAAATTTAAAAAATGCGAACATTGGTGGTTCGTCTTAATAATATTGAGGCTTCATTGGCATAGTGTCCGAAGGGACTAGATATTTATGGATCTACTAAATACGAAGCTATGAATCGAATATATTAGCTCAGTGGCGTAAATAAGGGGGGTTATTGGGGTTATTTACCCCTTTACTCGGGTTATAATTTGAATCGCAATTATCCCCTGGTTTAAATTTAGGATATCTCAATCTTATCTCTAAACTGTTATCCCTAGATGTTGGTCTACTTCTAACCCCATCTCTATCTCTTCCATTAGTTGATCTTTCCCTATTATAGCGTGAATCTGGTTGTCGTCTTCGTTCAAGTGATCTCCCTCTCTCTCTTGTTCTATATCTTTCCCTTGAATTACTCCTGTCCTCTCTATTATATCGAGACCTATCTCCATGTTTATCTTTATTCCAGGAATTTCCGTTATATCCGTTAGATTGATATCTGTCTTGTCTATCTCTTGATTGGGATCTATTTCTATTTTCTCCATTATATCTGTTCTGACTTCCATTTCTCTCATACAAATTACTATTTCTACCCATCCTATTACGTTCATAACTATTATTTGCAGATTGAGATCTTGGACGTTGGTATCTATCCTGCATTGTCCTATTCCCAGATGGAGATCTATTATCCCTTGATGACCTACTATTATCCCGGTAATTATTCGATAATTGTCTGTCCCATTGTCTCTTATAACCATTATCATATCTTTGTCTATCATTATAATTATGAAACTTATCGTCTCTACTTTGATTATTTCTATAATTAAAAGAACTTCTATATCCTCCCGTAGAACTAGATCTATTTCTATAATATGGAGTATTGGATCCATTAGTATAGTTTGTATTATTATAATATCTATCTCTATCAGATGTACGATTACTGTTATCCTTACGGTTATTAGAATAGATATCATTGTTATACAGTGGTTTATATTGTGAATAATCACGTTGATTACTATTTCTATATTCCGTACTATACATTGTATTATTTAACGCTGTTACTTCTGAATCTTCCTCACCATTTGTAGATTCATATGAATCCGAGTCCGATCTATGTACTTGAGCCTGAGTATTGTGCGTCCTAGCTTTATTTATTTCTGTCCTAGCTTTATTTATTTCTGTTGTTAATGAGACATTTAAAGTTAATTCTCTTTTATCAGCCCATCTGGTACTCGGTTTGCAACCTGACAACTTCGCGTTATTGAATTCATCCTTTGAAATTTTTGTCATATATTTTTCATTATCATCCCATAATAAACTTAAAGATTGATTAAGACGTCCTTGTTTCATTGCTCCCAATAGTGCTAATTGCATTCTAACATCACAATTTTTAAGAGGAACAGAATAATATGAATTATTATATTTGACAAATGTTGTAATATCATCCTCACTACGATCTCCAAAACAAGTCCCTAAGGACGACTGATCTATTGAAGCTATATTTGATTTAATTTGTACTGGAAATACTGGATTACTTTTCCTATTATGAATATTGTAATACTGAAATTCTAATTCCTCATCNATTATTATCAGAAATTGTTTTGTCCTCCTTTCACCAATACAGCGGATAGAGTTATATTATGAATACAGGTATAAATCTTATAACAAAATATTATATATTAGGTATATGAGACATAAAATGTCGTCCTCCCATGTTATATGTCGTCTTCTGTATTCAAAGTATCGAGCATAAAATACTTCCTTCACTTATATTTTAAATATTCAGATAAAAATATAAATTTATAAAGATTTCTTTGAATGTATTTTATAAATATCTATAAGTGGTTAGCTCGAAGACATTTAACGTTAAAGCAATATAAATGTCGTCCTCCTTTCCAGACTAAACTTTCACTCTTTATTTAACCCAAATTTCATTAATAAAATTTGGAAAACACAATTTCACAAATGTGTATATAGTTTAATGTGAATTATTACCTCTGCGTAATTATAAATCAAATGGATTTATTCCAGCAGTCACTTTTATTGCCCGTTTAGATATATGACATTTATCATGAAATAGAATTCATTTAACCGTATTTGCATTCACATTGTATAGGAATAATCTTTAAATTCATTAACATTTGCTCACTATAATATTTAACAATATAAAACCATCATATTCACTAGATACCCTGTAGAATATAACTTGTGTACTTTCGTAAGTTGTTTTGTGCAAAAGTTGTATATGCTAATTTCCTCCACTGAGGACTGGTTTAAGAACCCCACTGGAAACTATGCAAAACCTGTACTGGTTTAATGACCCAGCTATTTGCAAAACCTGTATTGGTTTAATGACCCAGCTAGAGACTGTGCAAAACCTGATTATGCCCTCAAGCAAAACCCATTATTTGCAGAACAATAGACAACCTTTGCACATATATATATATTTTATACAACGAACGTGTTCTTTCTGCTCAACTATCTTATAAAACTAACTCGCAGCCATTCATATAAAAGTGGTGCGTATTTGTACGATGCAATATTTTATGTATTTTTTTGTTTTTATGGAATATGCGTATATCTTATATCTAAAGTACGATATAATTTTTTTTGTATTTTTTGTATTTTTAAATTTACAATATGTTTATCTTATTTTCATGCAGTATTTTTAAGCTGATGATATCATATATTATAGAAGGAAATCTGATATATGTATATATATATATATATATTCCCGTTCTGTCTATATTCGCACTTCTCCCTCCTGTATTTCAATTTTCTTCAATGTCTATTATCCTCATACTGAAATACATAAATATGATTCTGCTATCTATATTCCCGTTCTGTCTATATTCATACTTCTTCCTCCTGTATGTCCACTTTCCTCAACATTCTATAATCCTCATACTAAAATACATAGATATGAGTCCACTGTCTTATAATCTTACTCTATTCCTTTAATATTTATTCCAATTCTTCTTTCTCTACTGTTACAAAACAATGTTATATTGAAGTTTTTATTTTAGATAATTATGAGATTCAACTAATTCATCTTGGAACCTTCGTTTATTAATATGATCGACTAAATTTCAAACCTTATATGTTCACTATTCCAGCGATAGTTGATCCGTAATCTGCAAATATTTCAATGAAAGTCTAAATTAAAAGTTATGTATAATTTAGAAATATTGTTGATGATAGTTAAAATCCAATCTTATGATAGAACAGGATTTTGCAAATTGCGGGTTAGAATACAAATATTATTCTTTTTCCCAAGTTGTAGTTTAGTGCATTTAAATGCAGGACCAGATTGTAGGCATACCATAGAGTCGGGTTAACGTCCTCGTTTAAACCCCAGATTATCATTTAAAATCTGCCCACTCATGCAGTTTAAACCCCAGATTACTATCAGTAGAATTTGCACAACCTCACGCAGTTTGCAAAATCGCACTTCTTATCTTACAGAATAACAATCCCAATATATATATATTTAAATATATTCAAATATCTTCCAATAATATTTTTGTTTTTAGGTGTTTCAGTATTCAGAACAAGATTTATCTATATCCGGAATTTAGAAAACATGTAATCCTGGATTTTATAATAAAGCTGAATCAGACTTGAAAAGATATAAAATCAATTAAGACTTAAGACGTAATTCTGATTTTGAAATATTTTATAGCTTTTTAACAAAAATCATACGATCGTCGTATTCTGATAAAGATCCATGATCTAAGCTGTATATCTTTTAATTTAGGTCAATCCGAAAATAATTATTTCGCTTATTTTAAAGTATCCCAAAATTGATTTTTAATGTTATGTCATGGAAACTTTGTAAAAATCAATTTTAATTGATGTAAGATGAAATCTTTAAACTTTAATCATAGATTGACTTTATTAGCTTCTAAGTTTGTTTCAACTAAGCAAAATCGACCCAGATATTTCAAAATCTTCAGCTTTTCCAAAATATAGATTTTATTTAATTTTATGTATTTGAAGTTTTAATATTTTGTGAAGAATAACAGATATAATAAATATCAATCAGGTAATGTATTTTCCCAAATCAGTAATCAGATCAAGATTTTAGACAATCTTTTATCGAGTTTGTCAACTAAAACTATTTGGAAGTCCAATTTTAAGAATATTTTTAAGTTTCAGTTTTGAATATTAGAATTAGTTAAAACTTAAAGAAATCTTGTAAAATCCAGTGACAGCAGAAATGATAGAAAATAGCCAAAGTCCAATTTGCGAAAAAAATATATATGATTACGAATGAACAGTTCTAATGAATCAGGAATTAGAGTTTAAGAACTAAAGTTTAGATTTTAGTGTTATATTCAGAAATCAGAAATTTAAGATATTTAAATGTTATTTCAATAGTTTTACTTTTTAACAAATCGTTCTTTGCAAGATATATAAGGCTTACTTATCCAAAATCTATTTTAGAGTTTCAATTTTAGGCTCCGCAAGATATTTAAAAATCTGTTTTTAGAATTTTAA